AAACATCTGGCCATCTGAGCTAAGCTAACCGCTAAACATCTGGCCATCTGAGCTAAGCTAACTGCTAAACATCTGGCCATCTGAGCTAAGCTAACTGCTAAACATCTGGTCATTTGAGCTAAGCTAACTGCTAAGCATGGCCTCTGACAATGGACAGGTGTCTACACTGGTCCTGTTAGACCTCAGTGCTGCATTTGATACAGTTGATCATAATATTCTACAGAGACTTGAATATGATGTTGGAATTATAGGAACGGCTCTAAATTGGTTTAAATCATATTTATCTGATAAATTGCAATTTGTAAATGTAAATAATGAATCTTCATCATACACCAAAGTTAGTCATGGAGTTCCTCAGGGATCAGTGCTTGGACACTTATATATGCTCCCATTAGGTAAAGTTATTAAACAGCATGGGATCAATTTTCATTGTTATGCTGATGATACACAGTTATATTTGTTCATGAAACCCAATGACTCCAATCAGCTACTTAGACTACAAGCATGTCTTAAAGACATAAAAAAAACTTGGATGACCCTAATTTTTTTCCTTTTGAACACAGACAAGACTGATGTTTTAGTTTTTGGACCTGAGCATCTTGGGAATACATTTTTCAGACTTTCGCCCTCCTTGGATGGCATTAATCTGGCCTCCAGTTCTAATGTTAAAAATGTTGGTGTTATTTTTGATCAGGACATGTCTTTTATCCCCCACATTAAAAACATTACTAGAACCTCCATATTCCACCTGTGTAATATCACTAAAATTAGAAACATCTTATCTAAAAATGATGCAGAAAAACTGGTTCATGCATTTTCACGTCCAGACTGGACTATTGCAACGGTTTGTTATCTGGGTGTCCAAATACTTTAATATTCTTCAACTGATCCAAAATGCTGCTGCCAGAGTCTTAACTAGAGTTAGTAGTAGAGATCATCTCTCTCCAGTTTTAACTTCTCTCCATTGGCTCCCTGTCAAATCCACAATTGAATTCATAATCTTACTTCTAACCGACAAAGCTCTCAACAACCTAGCTCCATCTTATGTTACAGATCTTATTGTTCCATATTTTCCTAACAGAGCACGTCACTCTCAGACTGCAGGCTTACTCACGGTTCCTAGAGTTTCCAAAAGCAGAATGGGAGGAAGATCTTTTAGTTATCAGGCTCCTCTCTTGTGGAACTAACTTCCAGTTTCTGCCCATGAGGCTGACACATTGTCCAGTTTTAAGACTTTCCTTTTTGATAAATCCTATAGTTAGGGTCGGCTTGTTATGCTGCTATAGGCTTAGACTACTAGAAGACAAATGGAGCCCATTTCCTTAAATGAATTGTTAAAATTGAATAGTTTTCATTTGATACTATTTCTATCTTAACATGTGATTCTTGACCTGCCATTGTGTATCTGTTCCTGTCAATCAAAGCAGATGGCCACTTGTACTGAGCCTGGTTCTGCTAAAGGTTTCTTTCTCATGAGGGAGTTTTTCCTTTCCACTGTCGCCTTCATGCTTGCTCAAGATGAGAGTTCTGTGATGGAGTTAAATTCAAAGCAGTCTGCGCCTCAGATAAATAATGTTAAATTATTATTTTTATATATGAATGTTTCTGTTCAGTGCTCAGAGACGACTTCTGTTGTGACTCGGAGCTATAGAAATAATCAATCAACCTTTATTTAGACAGGTAAATCCCATTGAGCCTCGAGGACTCATTTACAAGAGAGACCTGATGAAATAAACTGAATTGAATCAAATTAAACATCTGTCCATCTGCGCTAAGCTAACCATTAAACATCTGTCCATCTGCGCTAAGCTAACCGTTAAACATCTGTCCATCTGAGCTACGCTAACAGCTAAACATTAGTCCATCTGAGCTAGGCTAACAAAAACATCCGTCTGAGCTAGGCTAACTGCTAAACATCTGTCCATCTGAGCTAAGCTAACTGCTAAACATCTGCGCTAAGCTAACCGCTAAACATCTGTCCATCTGCGCTAAGATAACCGCTAAACATCTGTCCGTCTGCACTAAGCTAACCGCTAAACATCTGTCCATCTGCGCTAAGATAACCGCTAAACATCAATTTTTGTGTTTAAATGAAAAAATTGTATCAGACAGAACCTGTCAGGTCCATCTTGGTCCTGGTTCAGGCTCCAAGCTGCCAGTCAAATGTGTCAAACATCTGTTGTGTGTCTGTATTCTGCCTGCAGGCTGGTCCCTGTCCGGATTCTCTGCTGACGTCTCCTGATCGTTGTTGGATTTATCTCAGGGAGTCTCTGCCCCCACAGCCCGGGGGGGAGTGGAGGAGGCTGTTCAGGTGCTGAAACTGAGCTCGGTGAGGAGGATTAGCCCCGCCCCCTCACCATGACAGACTTGGAGGCTGAGTGTTTGAGTCTCGGCCTGCCTCCTGAGTGTGGCTCCCCTCCCCCACCTCTGGACTCATCCCTGCAGGTGGACTGCGGCCCAGGGCCCGCTGGTTCGGCCCCGACGCCCACCCTGGCCCTCCTCTCCGACTGCCCCACGCCCACGCTCAGCTCGCTGGCGGCTGAGATCGCTGAGCCGCTGGTGATGCTGCCGTGTGTGAAGAGCGAGCCGGAGGACGAAGAGCTGGAGCCCATCAGGACCGTGGACCTGTCTGAGATCCAGCCACTGTCCACCGCTGAGCTGGGCCACGACCAGATCAAGATGGAGATCAGCGGCCTTGACTACATCAAGTCCGAGCACCACGGTAACCTCTACCTGGGTCCATTTCACCAGAGCGACGTGTCAGAGCTGGACTACAAGTCCCACTACGAACCCATCTCTGTGTTCGACTACATTTCCCAGGTATCATCACTTCCACTCCCCAGAACACATTCAGATATATTTAGATTGAAAGAATTTTCAGAGTTTGACTCAAAACGACCAAGTCCTTTTTGAGTCATTGTTTGTGGTCATATTGTCTCTGAAACCATTTTCAAATCATAGGCACCAGTTTTTTCTCCTGATGGTTCTGGTCCAACAACCTGATGGTTCTGGTTTTTGGTAGTCCAGAATAAACAGTTTTATTTTAAAAATGGAAAATGGCCAAACGGAGTGAAGCATTTCTTTAGTATTTTCTCAGGTGAGCTCTTCCGTTAAGATTCTTGTTTCTGTGTCTGAAAGAGACTGTCTGGTTCTGATGGTCGATCTGGACCGGGCCTGATCGTAAACAAACAGCTGATTTTTAAAACTAAGAAAACAACACAAAAACTCTGACGTTTGTTTGATGCAAGCTGTTTTCTTCGTTTTTATTTATTTGTTCTTTAAAAAACGAAGGATAAACGAAGGACTAAATTTGAATCATTAGAATCAAGTTTCTGAACCCGTGGCCCGGTAAATGTTAATGTTCAGGTCTGGGTCAGTTGTGGTTCTGGAAAGAGGAGTTTTACCCAGAGCTGTTTCCTTGTTGCAGGTCACAGACACCCTGGACTACATCAAGTCGGACCACCACGTGGACCTGCAGTGTTACTACGCCACCGAGCTGAGCTCCCTGAGGTCCGAGTACCCCGAGTCCAACGCCATGTCGGCCCACCTGCAGCACAACGGCCTGGAGTCCATCCACATGGCCGAGCTCCGCACCGAGCTCAACAAGCTGCGGCCCGACGCCCTGATTGTGGACGGCATGAGCAAACCGGACTCTGAGTTTGGAGGGGGGACGCTGTACGAGCTGCAGCCTGTCCGGGACGAGAAGGGGGGTTCTGGGGAGGGGACGGCAGGCAGAGGGGGCAGTCGGGTCGTCACGACCAAAACCCAGAACCCAACGGTGAGGAAACCTCGCAACATGCAGGGCGAGAAACCGTTCTCTTGCACGCAGTGTGGAAAGAACTTCAGCACGCTGGGAAACCTGAAAACCCACCATCGGATTCACACCGGTGAGCGCCCCTACACCTGCTCGCAGTGCGGCAAGAGCTTCGGCCAGGCGGGGAACCTCAAACGCCACCAGCTGATCCACACGGGCCAGAAGCCCTACGTGTGCGCTCACTGCCCCAAAGGCTTCACAAAAGCCGACGACCTGCGCTCGCACCAACGGCTGCACACCGGCGAGCGCCCCTTCATCTGCACCGCCTGCAGCAAGAGCTTCAGCCAATCCAAGGAGCTGAAGGCGCACCAGCTGAGCCACACGGGCGAGCGGCCGTTCTGCTGCCAGCACTGCGGCAAGAGCTTCACCAAGGAGACGAGTTACCGGAACCACATCCAGATTCACACCGGCGAGAAGCCCTTCACCTGCTCGCAGTGCGGAAAGACTTTCAGCAACTCGGGCGTCCTGAAAACCCACGAGAAGATCCACACGGGCGAGCGGCCGTTCGGCTGCACGCAGTGCGGCAAGAGCTTCGGCCGCCTCGGCCACCTGAAGGCGCACCAGCAAATCCACACGGGCGAGCGGCCGTACGCCTGCCCCCGGTGCGGGAAGACTTTCAGCCAGTCGGGCCACCTCAAAGCACACGAGCAGATCCACAAACGAGAGCGTGCCGACACGGCGAGCACCAGCAGCGACGGCGGCAGCAGCAGCGTTAGCAGCGACAGCAGCTAAGGCCGCGGCCGAGCCTTTAACCTCCGGAGACACAAAGTATTATTCCTCTTTTTATAAATATGATATATAAAAGTTTCTTTATCTGTTTTCTTACATTTTCATACTTTTTGTGCTCTTTTACATTTTATCTGTGGGCAGAGTGGGCGGACTGATGTGTGATGTGTGTCTGTGGGGGGTCTAGATAATCCTCCAACTGGACTCTGCAGAACCTGAACCTATTTTCTACAGTACTTATGAAACACGAGCACAAAGGTTTTAGTGACCAAATATAAGAATTTATGTTTTTGTATTTCCTGTTTTGTACTGAATCAGACCAGCAGCTCCTGACCGACCCGGACCCTGGTACCGGCTCAGTTCTTATGGACCCTGACCGTGAACGTGTCGGCTGTGTTTACAGGATTTACAGCCGCAGTCGGACGTTTCCGTCGTCACAAACATGAAGGTCACATTAATTTGTGGGACGGCTCCACAGCGCTGAGCTTCTCTGGTCTGTTGGTTGGTTTCTGGATTTCAGACCCGGTTCTTGTTTCTGGTTTTCAAAACCGGCTCTCAGTCAGGGTCTACATAGTACCCAGGTTGAGGTTGGGGTTTTGGGAAGGCCAGTCCAGAAGCTTAATATCAGCCTGACTTGTCCAATCAGAACCCAGCTCTGATGTGTGTCCTGTTGAGTCAGTGGTCCTGGTCCTGGTCCTGGAGGGCCCCCACCCTGCATGTTTCAGATCGGCACCTGCTTTGATTCAATGAGTGACTGGCAGTGTTCTGCCGATCTTGAAACCTGCAAGGTAGGGACCCTTGAGGACCAGGCTTAAGGACCACTGGTCCAGCTGTTGATATGAGGTCATCACGTCTTGATGCTACCCCCTGCGTGTTGGTGCAGTTCTCTGGTCTGAGCCTCACCTTGACGCCTCTAAATGAACTTCCTGTCATTGAACTGAAGCAGTTTCCTTCCCTCTGAGGGGGACGCTGAGTTTACGTTAATCCAGTGCTTTTGCACAAATCCAGATGTGAAACTAGCAGCTGCAGTCAATCCTGATCACTCAGGTCTTCATTAACAGGTTTGTAGACATTTGAGCTGGTTTGAATAATTCAAACCTGCGTGGATCAAAAGACAATCCAAAATGAATTCTAATTGGTTCTTAAAAACCAGTGAGGTTTGTAGAACAATTCCAGTCTGGAAGAAGAAGAAATTAAATGAAACTCTGGATTTAATCTGACGTTCATGTTCCGGGACGTACGGAAACCTGTGACTAGATGAAGAACATAAACACATTAATCATTGAACGTGTTGGGTGAAGAAACATCTCGGAGAGAGATGATGGCGTTTACATCAGCACTGATGATGACGATGATGATCTGTTAGATCTGTAAACAGGCGGATGGACTCAGTGGTCGACATCTGTTAGATCTGTAAACAGGTGGATGGACTCATTGGTCGACATCTGTTAGATCTGTAAACAGGTGGATGGACTCAGTGGTCGACATCTGTTAGATCTGTAAACAGGCGGATGGACTCAGCGGTCGACATCTGTTAGATCTGTAAACAGTTGGATGGACTCAGCGGTCGACATCTGTTAGATCTGTAAACAGGTGGATGGACTCAGGTCGACATCTGTTAGATCTGTAAACAGGCGGATGGACTCAGCGGTCGACATCTGTTAGATCTGTAAACAGGCGGATGGACTCAGCGGTCGACATCTGTTAGATCTGTAAACAAGTGGATGGACTCAGCGGTCGACATCTGTTAGATCTGTAA